GTAAAGCTTTCTCAGTATCTTATTGTATGATATTCTCAAGCCAGCACTTAAGGTTGGTAGGCCGATTTCATAAATTGCTTTGTAAGTTAGAAATTGGAAATACCACTTCTTGTAAGCACCATTTGAATTACAGAGCCAATTAATTTTCTGCCCTTACTGGCTTGTGTCAGTCCTTTAGTGTCTAAAATGGGCTTTTACATTGTTCTTTGTAAACAACGACTGCACTGTTTGCTTACCTTTCATCTTTTGTACTTTATCCTTGCTGGAGAATGCAGTTTGTGTTATTTTCATTGTTCAGTTGATTTTAAAGCTGTTTGAGTCTGGCCTATTTAAGAACTTGTATCCTATGTTTTGTATGCAACAAATACGTATGTAGATAAATATCGGTGGAAATAGGTCTTAGTGGTGCTTTAGCACCATGAGGTGACAGAAGGAGGAGCCAGGGTTCTGCTCCTGGAGTCTCCCTGACATTTGTTGGAGGGCGTTTCAGTGAGTGCTTTTCTTATGAGTCCAGAGTGATGACAGCAGGAGGGCCTGGATGGATGTGCGCGAACGCTTGGCAGGTTCCCAGGGGTGGAAACCTTTGAGGAAACATCGGTGTTTATGAATATTCTTGACAGTGGAATTAAAAAAGGATAGTTTGCAGGCTTTAATATTCAATAAACTCTGGTTCAGTAATGCACCATTTGAAAGGCACACAGATCTGAAATTAATAAGGGATGGCCCCTTGTAAGGGAGGACGGTGAGGGCCATGTTTTTGAAGAATAGACACATGGCTCTTTGGAGTTAGTGTAAGTAAATCCTGTAAAACAAGGGAATAAACTTGATGGAGAGATGTGGAACTGAATGGACGTATTGACAAGTGGTGCCATAGTTAAGTTGGTGTCTTTTTACATTTTACCTGTTTCTCTCGGGTCTTTTTTTCCCTTCCTTGAACTGATTGTATTATTTTGTGTCATGCTTTATAATGGCTGGTGAAATGTGTCCATGTAGCAGTACAACAATATAAGTTTTTACTAAGCTTGTGGATTAGCTGTAAGTTTATCAAGGCGGTGCAAAATAACTTGAATGAGCAGTGAGAGAGGGCTCAGGCAACTCTCACTCCTTAGGAGGTTCTGTTTCTTTAGCCAGGTGGACCTTGGAGAATGCTGGTACTTTTCAAGCTACAATAAAGATGCTGCCTTGCCCTAGCCGATTTGGCTCAGTGGATAGAGCGTTGGCCTGGGGACTGAAGGGGTTTGATTCCAGTCAAGAGCACATGACTGGGTTGTGGGCTCGGTCAGATGTGCAGGAGGCAGCCAATCAACTATTCCCTCTCCATCATTGATGTTTCTATCTCCCTCTCTCTCTCCCTTTCCCTTCTTCTCTGAAATCAATAAAAAAAAACCCCAACAATAACAACAATAAAACCCCCACCACTATTTCCAGATGCTCTGGCCTCCTGAACATATTTGCTCCACCCTTTTAGGCATACCCCTTGGAAGGACAGAGTCAGCTCTCTGGAATATAGACTCTCTGTCTCTTTGCACTTGGAAAATTGTTCTCGTTCACTTTCTATGTATGTTTATTTCTGACAGGGCGAGACCTTTTTCCCTGGCTCATCTTTTCATTATTCCTCAGTCTTGGAATGCACTGCTGGAGATGGTGGGATAAAGACATTTGGAATATCCCCTTCTGTCATCATAATCACCAGCCTTAGTAGACTCACCTCCTATGTGTAAGATTTTTAAAAATATATATATTTTTATTGATTTCAGAGAGGAAGGGAGAGGGAGAGAGAGAAACATCAATGATGAGAGAGAATCATTGATCAGCTGCCTTCTGCATGCTGCCCACTAGGGATGGAGCCCACAACCAGGGCATATGCCCTGACCAGGAATTAAACCGCAACCTCCTGGTTCATAGGTCGATGCTCAACAACTACTGAGCCATGCTGGCCGGACCCATGTGTAAGATTTTAATGTTACCCTTAAATCATTTGGTCTGGCCCTACCAAGGCATTTAGGGGTGAGTTAACTATATGTTTGACCAAATACAGCAGGCTAATTTTTAAGTTAATAATTTTAGATGCCCCTTGAATGATGTTATAAATATCTAAATGGCCCTTGGCAGAAAAAAGGTTCCCCACCCCTGCTTTAAACCAACCACTTGCTCTAGTCCCCGTGTTCGCCCCCCCCCCCCCCAACTTGCTCTTCTCTCTAGTTTATCTCACTTGTTACAACACTCATTTGGAGCAATGGTCCTTCTGTGGCCCATGCCCTAAACTGTGCTTGGTGACATCACACACATTTTCTCTGTGTTCAGGGGCAAGCTTCTGGGAGGCCAGAACAATGACGAATGATGACCTTAGGTGGCTTCATGTTGCTGTTGTCACCTTGACCAACACTCATGTGCTTGACAGATCCTCTGTCCTGAAGGTGCTTCCCTCTCCATCCCCCATGGAGTATTCTGTGTCTTTATTCAGACTAACTGGTTCCCCAGATGGTAAAATGTTGGGACAGTGCTCTTTCTTCCCTGGTCTTACATTTTAAATTGTAGTCAAAGGCAATTCACCAGAGGTTTGGGACGGGTGGGGGTGGGGGGGGGGGGGAATTAAAACAAAAACAAACAAATAGCTGATGCCAAAGTCATATCCTTTACCACTCTCTCCCACAGTTTTCCTCCAGTCCCCAAGCCTGTCTTTCCACATGTTCTTATCATGTGGGATTGGTTTCCTGCAGTTGGAAAGACAGCAAAAGCTACGCTGCTTCAGTAGAATTGTGTTCTCCCTCCCTTTGTGCTTGAAATGCTGCCTCCTGCTCTATTGGCCTTACGTCTGCCAGTCTCTCTCAGGTTCCTTTCTTGTATCTTGAGGCACACTTATTAAATTTTCATCTGTAACTCAATCTTCGTACTTTGCTTTGAGTTTTGTGTGGGCGTATTTTCAAACTCCTGGCATTGAGCTGTCAGTTTTCCTGGGCCTTGTGCTATATAAGCAGGGCTTCTTCAGACATATCCCATCAAATAGCCCTCTTACTGTAAATGCTATCTTTTCCTTTTTTCTCTTCAGAACAGTGAAATTATTCAGTTTTATATGCAAGCGTTCTTGTGCTCTTTTCCTCACTTATGTGTTATAATGATGTAGGGAAGACAGATGTTGCCTACCCAAGGGCTTTGGGGTATCTGATTGGTAAATTTATCATCAGTGCCAACCTGAGAGCTACTTTCTATGCTGCCTTAAACATGTATTCTAGACCTACACTGCCCCGTGCAGGAGCCACCAGCCAGCCACATGTGGCTGTGCAGCATGTGAAATGTGGCAAGTCCAAGTTGAGATGTGCTTTAAGTATAAAGTACACAAGGGATTTCAATGACCTAGTATGAGAAAAAGAATGTGAAGTAGCTCACTAATAATTTTCATATTAATTACATTTTGAAGTGATATTTTGGATATATTGGGTTAAATAAAATGTTACTCACTTCTGCTGTTTCTTTCTGTTTTAAAGCATTGTTAGTAGCAAATTCAAAATTACACATTTGCCTCGCATTATATTTCCATTAGACCGTGCTCTTCCATGAGAGTGTAAGTAGTGCCAGGGAAGGTAATGATATAATTTGAGACTTACAGCTCTTGCATACCACTCACTGGAGGTAGTAATTGAGCAGTTTGCCTATAGCTGCATTGGCCTACTTTCAAAAGGAGACTCCAGGGTTTGGGAATCCTCTAATGCTGTCAGGTTCCTCAGATGCTTAGAGGGTGAGTTCCAGTTACTTGATGCTCTATTTGAAATAGCAGTAGCGCATCATTTGACAGGTTCTTGTTCTGATACTGAGTCAGTGCAGAACTTTTTAGAACTCTGGGTGTGTACCAGATACTTTTCTAGGTCCTTTGGATGCAAAGAGAAATCTCATCCCCGACCACGAGGGACTTAGTCACAGCATGGTATGCAAACAAGACACGAGTGAGTATGATTCATTGTTCAATAATAGAGGACTGCACAGTGGCTAGGAGAGTCCAGAGGAGATGATGGGGCAGGAAAGACCCTGTGAGGAGATGCGGCTGCTTGTATTCTTTCAGTGTCCATTCCTGAGAAAGTAAATAAAGGATGTGGGCTTTGGGTGTAGAAACAGCCCATTCGGCGACCTGGCATAATGGTGCACTTCCCATCTCTGGACAGTAAGTGCAGTTCAGCTAGGATATGAGATGTGTTTAAATTGGTCCCCTGCAGGCCTATCAGCTATCAATTAGGTTTTGATAGTCTTCTGTCAAGTTAAAACCTTCCGTGTTGTCCTCAGGAATCAATTGAAGAAAGCATGTAAATGCTCCTCAGGTTTGTTCCCTGCAGTCTTTTTTGTATTTGCAGAAATGTGCATGTGAATGAAACTGAAAGGAGGGGAAAATCGAATAACTTTGCCTTTTTCTGGTGGAAACGCAAGTCAGTTTGGAAAGCTACCAGAGTGTTGTGTAATGTTTTCAGTGGCCGAAGCAGACGCGCTCAGGTTTCATTGCTGCGTCGCTGTGTGTTGGGGGTGGGGGACAGCAAGTGACACAGCATACAACAGACACTTACATAACCATGACTTCAGGGGACAGGAGCAGGCTGTGAATGAACCTCCCAAACTCAGGAACATGATAGCAGAACACAGCCTTTGAATTTCTCTCTCGCTTGGCTTGAAAATCAGCTTCGGAAACCTCTTTCTCTCAAACTAGACTTCCGTTACTCTCAGAACTTCTTTCCCTTCCCCTCCGGCCATCCAGTTCATGGACATATAGCATGTTAGAATTAGAAGGGGGCTCAGACGTCTCAGTGCCGTTGTTCACAGGTAAGTCTCAGCCTGCCTGCTGCTGGCTTTCCTCGGGGTCCCTCCACTGCCCCAACAGCCCTGTTCCTGGAGGCCCAGCGTGGAACTCCTTCCTGGCAGATTAAGTTCATTGCCAATTCTTCGACTCTCCCTTGCCTCCCAGCAGAATTTCCGGATGCAGTAGATAAAGGAGTCAGTTTGTTTTGCTGAGGGGACGAAGCGGACTCCGAGGGGACTGAGGTGGAGTGTGGAGTGTGATTTGCCTCGGATCCTGCAGTGGAGGGTGCCAGGTGATGTGGAGGCTGATCTTATCAGATTCCGTTCGTTCTGCACGGATGGCAGAGGCTTCCGCTTACCTGCTGCCGCATCTATCGCCTCCCTTCACTTGAATCCTTGCCCTTCACTTGAGTTTTGATTTGAAATCCAAAACTGGAACCACAAAAGGATGGCGTTAGAAATGGCTCTTATCTCATCAGTGTCCTCAGGCTGTAGATGAGGCTATAGAGGTCCCGGAAGGGGCTGTGTACTTGTTGGAGGTCATCCAGCCGGTACAGAATCCTGGTGTTCATTTCCTAGTCTAACTTTTCTCTCTCATACATTTGTGTGTTTTTTAAGCCACACATATTTTTAAATGGTCAGAGTAAAAAACCAATTAAAAACAAACAAACCCTTAAGAATTATGGAGACTACTGTTTGTTTCTATGTGACCACAGTTTACATGATGCTTGTTTTGGGGAACTGCTTGTTTTGAGGAACCTCTTATTTCTGTAAATTGCTTAAGCGTTTTTTAGGTGATGAGGGTTGAAAAGGTAGCGTGGTTTGGATTTTACAAAAATCTGCCGAAACCGGTTTGGCTCAGTGGATAGAGCGTCGGCCTGCGGACTGAAAGGTCCCGGGTTCGATTCCGGTCAAGGGCATGTACCTGGGTTGCGGGTACATCTCCTACGGAGATGTGCAGGAGGCAGCTGGTCGATGTTTCTCTCTCATCGATGTTTCTGACTCTCTATCTCTCTCCCTTCCTCTCTGTAAAAAATCAATAAAATATATTATAAAAAAACAAACAAACAAACAAACAAAAAAAACCAAAAATCCTTTTACAATAACATTTTTGTGTGAAAGATGTTAACAGACAAAAGTAGAGGGAACGGTGCCACCACCTGACTTGAACAGTGATCACTCATCACTAGTCTCCTTGTGTCAGTTGAATTGGCGGTGGCACTTTTACTTATTACTCGTGTAATTATGCTTTTTTTACTAGGAAGCATTTCTAGCTCAGGTGCTTATCCCAAAAGTTTCTTTGAGCAATTTACTTAGCCCAGGTGATTGCAAAGCTCCGAGCAAAGTTTTGTGTGTTTTTTAAAATCTTTTTGCCACCGTATTAGGTAAGATAAGCTAGCTGCTATGGCAAACCCCACTAATTTTAGTGACTTACAGGTGAAAGTTTATTTTCAGTTTCCGAAAAGTCCGGGGTATGTTTTTCCTGATGAGGGAAAAGGGAGGTGGGATTCAGGGGTTCAGGCTTCTTCCACATTGTGACCCCACCGTTTTCAGTCCACGCTTTTGACATCGCCCAGCTCGTCTGCATCAGGCCAGCGCAGGGGCCTAGCAGTGGCACACATTTCACACGCTCCTCTCATTTCATTGGCTAGCACTCAGTCACGTGACTCCACTGAGCCGCAAGGGCAGCAGGGAAATGTGGCCTGTTACTCGAGGAAGAAAGAAGTCTTGGTGCCCAGCTTACCTACTGCGCATGCGTACCCACGCCTCATCCTGGCCTGGTGCCGCATTTATGTTCCTAGGCAGAAAGCAGCGCAGTAGAGCCCTGGCCGGTGTGGCTCAGTTGGTTGGGCATCTTCCTGCGCCCAGGGCAGGGCACATGCCCAGGTTGCGGGGTCGACCCCTGATAAGAGGCGTGCAGGAGGCAACCTATGGACGCTTCACTTTCATTGCGATGTTTGTCTCTTTCCCCACTTCTCTCTTTAAAAATCAATTAAAAAATACAAAAATCTTGGGGGGGTGGTGCAGGGAGTGGAAGAAGAAAGAAAGCAGTCCAGTAGAGTCTGCTTCCTAACTCCCTGGTTGAAGAAGCTATTTTATTGTGGCTCGAAAATCATTACATTTTCTTCTGCTTATGAAATTATACCTATTTATTAGATAAAATTTGAGAAACCCAAGAAAACACAAGGACGATATAAAAACTAACAGTAATCCCAGCACTTGGCAATAATTATTATTAATCCTCTATTATATTTCCTTCTGATTTCAGAATTTTTAACTAAGAAATATTAATAAAATTTCACTAATTATTATTTTATGTTGGCTTGCAAATGCCACAACTAGGGAGGAGGGGAAAACAATAATAACGTGGCGATTTTGCCTTTTCTCAGCAAAGATGGACTATTGCAGAGCCATGGTGAGGTTTGCACTTTTGGCATTTTTATTTTTATTTTTCAAAACACGTGTGCACGCGTGCGCGCGCGCGTGCACACACACACATACACACACACCACTTTTGGCATTTTTGAAATGAACTTCTTGCTTACACATCATAATCCTTACCCTTAGTAAACACTGAGGCTGGTTAAAATTTGTGGCATATTAGAGTGGCAAGGCAGGGATAATATCTTAACTTTCTGACTACTTCCTACTCAATTTTCAGACCTCTTGAATATAGCTTAATTTTCAAGGAGAAAATGCTAATAAAAGGTGTTTGAAACTGAACCCAAATGAAAACTTGCAAACGTGAAAGATATAAAATCACATTCCTGGCAGCAAGCTGAGTTCTCAGGTGGATGTGCTGTTCTCTGCTTACCTGCATTGCCTTCCAGGCCAGCAGTGGGGGGAATGCTGCTGATCTGAGATGGGAGGGTCACTTGTTGGGAGAGAAGGTACATTTCTTGAGTCATGGGTTCTAGATCCAGGGATGCAGGACCTTCTGGTTTTTCCTTAAAGTGCTGAGGTTGCAGCCTAGACCAGCATCAGAATTCCTGTTTGTGAGGTCAGCATCATGACCTCACAGCCAGGGTTGCTCAAAATGTTCTGGCAGGATCTGAGCTGAGGCCTGGCCCGGTTCTCCAGACACCATGAGGTACCGCTTTGTCCCATATTGCCAGATTTGTGTTGACTTTTCTGTGACTTCCTGTAGATAAAAAGCAAAGACATTGATGTTAGGCCCTCCATAGTTTATTGAAAACGATTGGATAATGAAAATCACTGTTTTAAAACGTCCCCTGGCAGGATGTTTAAAAATAGAAAACTCACCCTGACCGGTTTGGCTCAGTGGATAGAGCGTCGGCCTGCAGACTGAAGGGTCCCAGGTTCGATTCCGGTCAAGGGCATGTACCTTGGTTGCGGGCACATCCCCAATAGGGGGTGTGCAGGAGGCAGCTGATCGATGTTTCTCTCTCATCAATGTTTCTAACTCTCTATTCTTCTCCCTTCCTCTCTGTAAAAAATCAATAAAATATATATTTTAAAAAAAATAGAAAACTCACCAGTAGCGCAGAGGTCTTTTACTGGGTGAATGAGTATGTGGTTAACCATTTGCTATGGCAGTGGCATTGCTATTGCCAATAACCATTGGCTCTATTTGCTATGAAACTTGCTATCAGTTTTCCCGTTTCTGCAATAAACATAACATTTTTTGTTCAGTGCAAACGCATCTATAGCACCAGGCAAGTAAACATTTGAAATGATGAGCCTTGGTTATCAGTGGCATCAATTATTTATGACCCAGAAACTAAATTCACATGCATCACAATTGAGAAGTTACCCCCTTTTGCTTTTAATATATATATATTGCTTTGCTCTCTGTACAAGTTTTAGTTGGAGTTGGAAGAAAAGGTGTTGGTTTATACAAATACCTAGAAACCTAGAAAATTAATACATATAATTTTCTTAAGGATTGTGCAAGCACTTGATAAATTATCTACTCCAATATTTAAATAGATATTGGACCCTCCTTCCAAATTTGATTCTGTGAGTTTAAGTTGGGAGATTATGTGCCCTCCCCCCCATTTTTTTGTTTTGTTACCTCTTTTTTTCTCTGCATATAGCATGTCAGTATTAAAGAGACTCAACATCCCATTTTTTGAGCATCGTCCTCTCTGTTCCCTATCCCCACCACCCACCGTAACAGTCACATGTTCCAATTTTCTTAAACATGTAAGACCTATAGTCTTAAAATATTTACTTTCTTTGAGACAAGGAGCCCTTTATGGATTCAGTAGGTGTATTCCCTTTCAAATGCGTCTCTAACTGGGTTGTCTATAACACAGTTCTTTAGAAATGAGCCATCCTGTCCACAGAGATTGTAGAAATGAAATTGCTGATTTAATAGTAACATCTAGTTACGGGGACAGTATGTAACTGCTGTAGATCAGTTTTCGTTAAAAACAATTCTGTGCTTTTAGCATTTATTCTTATACAGGAAGAATAGAATTGAATCTTTAACTTTTGAGTTTCCATTCCCTTTGCAAGATCTCTTTTGTGGAAGGGTATAATTTCATAAGCAGGAAAAAATTTTAATGATTTTTTAAGCCACAATAAAATGGTTTCAACCAGGGTTTTTGATGGTGTGTGAACTGTAGTGAGTAGTAGCAGAGGGGGCTGATCCCAGAGGCATTTTTTTTTTATATTTTATTGATTTTTTACAGAGAGGAAGGGAGAGAGATAGAAAGTTAGAAACATCGATGAGAGAGAAACATCGATCAGCTGCCTCTTGCACATCTCCTACTGGGGATGTGCCTGCAACCCAGGTACATGCCCTTGACCGGAATCGAACCTGGGACCTTTCAGTCCGCAGGCCGACGCTCTATCCACTGAGCCAAACCGGTTTCGGCCCAGAGGCATTTTGAACTGACACTGGTCATCTCCTGGATCAGCTGGAACGGGAACCTCTGTGTGCCGTGCATCAAGTGTTAGATGGCCCTAGCTTCACCTCCAAACTTGGGGTTCATTCCTTGAGTCATGGGATTTTTTTCCTCCCCTTCCTTCAGGGTCCTGGTAACTAAACCATTGTG